GTAATCTATGTGAAGACCGGTATCGCTGTTTGTCCAAGTTGGCTGCCAGCTGTTTGCTGCTAAATAAAAGTGGTAGCATGCCTGTAATCAATATATTGCGTTTCGAATATTCTATTTCTCAATTGTTGGACAATTTGGTTTTGTGATAAAAGTCAGATTGTACCTTTGCTTCGACGTTCCCCCAGGGTTTTGAGTATTTATCACTGACTGAATTATCTGCGAAAGTAGTGATACCTCCTACAACTAGTCCGATATTTATATAAACCTGTGAAAATATGAACAACAGGCTTTAATCATTTAATGCACATATACATGAGTATTACTTAAATCTAAATTCACAACAATAATTCATATATATTGTAGAATGTTTATTCACATTCTTATTTTAAGATATTTTTTATTAGAATTTCTCTTTTCAATTATATATTTTTTTATCCTTATTCTTTGTAATCTCAGATTGCTAACAGAAAATATGAAATGAGGAAAAGTGATGAAATAGAGACAGAGAAACGTTTTAAAGTAATATTTGTAGTTCATGGTCAGAATTACTTACCGGAGTATCATGCAATGTTGGAACTGTTTGTTCGCCGTATTGTTTCTCATCAACCATGAGCGTTATTTTACCTTTTTTCCATTTTAAATCATACACGTGGTAATTATCTGACCATAAATCTGTCGCTGTTTTCTTTGGAAGATTTAATCGATTATCGTCTACAGGAAATTGTACTTTCGTCGCATGAGCACCTCCCAGTAGAATATGTCCACTCATATCTCTTCCGTCTTGCAACTTGAGGAATGGATTTCCGTTCGATTGGGCCACTATGATGTCAAAATAGATCACCGAACTTTCCGTATATTCAGTTGTGCTTTCTAAAGTGATCACTGAAATGAAAATTTTTAGAATTTGAAATTTGTACTTTAGTAAATATTTTTTCCAATATGTACATATATATTCACGTTCTAAAATATAGATGTTCGCATAACAGAACATTCAAACGTTATTTGGATACAGAAGGCTCTGTTACTTATCAACTAATATTTAATATTTATATTTAATATTTAAGAATGAATTAAATAAGCATTATGAATATACGAAAAACTACAAAATTTCGATAGAACTCACAAGGATATAACCAATCGCCACGAGGGAATTTGGCTCGAATTTGAATGTGCCCGTACTGGAAAGTGAAGGATGATTTAGTATTCAATCGTCCTGATATTATAGGTGGTAAAATATTCCATCCACCTCCTTGTCTTGTACAATCAAGAGTACCAGCTACGCCTGTGCATCTGAAGAGACGTTCAACATCTTTAACGATACCTATTGGTATTTCATTATGATCGATTTTATGATAATTAGAATTTTACCTTTCCAAAGTCAGATTTCCATTCTTAATGTAATCGTCTCCGTACTTGTCGTTGGTAAAAGTTGGTCTAATATGTAAACTACCATCTTTGACTTCCACGTTATCGTTATTGTTCATGTACATGGCAAATTCGTAATCCTATATAAGATAAAATATTATCGAATTAATGTTTTACTGATTTTATATTTTTTTCTTGTCGATTTTATTGCTATTTGACTATAACAATACTTTTTTTATTTATATCCGATTTATTATTTTATCATTAAAAAAAAGGTAAATTTTTCTCCCGTATATTGGCGCGTTTTAATCTTTTTTCATTGCATTTGGACAAAAGTTATATTGCATCTAGAATTTTTTAATTATTCTTGTAGCACAGGATACGGTGGTTTTAAGAATTCTAGTTCTATGTCTGTCTACAAATTAATACTTGCCGGTGCGCTGGGAAAACGTTGCTGAACGGTCCAACGATTCGTGTCGAGAAACTCGAAAGTTTCCTCGAAAATCATTTGACCCGGACAGAGAGTTTGCTCTTTCGATGTAGTTTTAAAGATTTGAGTCTGTGCAGGTGTCGCACAGGGAATGTTGCCTCCATTCATTGTCGTTCCGTCATAATTATAAAATTCTAAAAGTGCAAACAAAAGATCAATGGCCAAGGTTCTACGAAGAGTCAATATGAAAATCATTTCTCAACAAACCATTGACAACATATTGCTGGTCAACTAAATTATAACCCAGACCATCGTAAACGACGTGGATCCAATAATAAAGTTTGTCTCCACGTTTTAGTCTTGTGGTTCTATCTTCGTACATCCAACGACCATTCTTTCTCTTTATAATATCCCTAGCAATAGTTCCTGCTTCCAGGCCGTAGAAATCTTCGTTAAATTTAACATGATATGCGACTAAACTAATGCCATTCTCATCTAAATAAAAAAAATTGCTTGGCTAAAAACTGTCATTGTTTTTAAAGATAGTACTATTTCACGACATGATATGTAATTTTGTATCTTTAATAACAATATAGAAACCAAAATGACGAAATGACTTATACGTAGAAATTTGTCTTTTAGCCGCAACACGTAAGTTTTGTACCGTAGTTATTTCTTATTAATTATTGTCCAATTATTTAGAATTAGTGATTCATTATAGTGCATTTATACTCGAAAGTTACATGTTATATATTTTTTAGAGAAACAGAAAAGACAGAATTTTTTACTGGGAAATCTGCGATGTGTTAATATCTTTCTTACAACTACACATAACTCGTTTTCGTTTGTTTCAATTTTTCCAGTATCTCTTGCTTACGTGACTGTGAGAAATATAATTATTTAAATTACGATTCGCGTATTATCTTCAATTGGTGTTTTGTTCGTTTACATCGATTCATTTTCATTGAATTTTTAAAACCAGATGAATATGGATTCACGTATAAATTGAATGAAAATAAACGAACTGTAGACGTGTTTTAAAAGATTAAACTGTTGGTATTACAGTGATGTAGTCATTAATAAAATTTATTCGATGAGCAATAAATATTTTTAGATATTCACAATATTGAGGAAAAAGAACAATATTGAGGAATAAAACTTGCGTATGTGCGTGTAACGTATAGGTAAGAATACTGAAATTCTGCATTGAACTATCGAAATATCATTGGAATTATAAAAGTATGTTTTTAGATACATGATTCAAATATATTTTTTATGAACATTTTTTATCAGTGCTTTTTATTCAATATTAATTTTTTAATACGAATTAAGTTTGTTCTATATTTTCAGCATTCAAAATCAAAATTAGACTCTTTATATATTATTGTATTACAATTTTCACAATTAAACACAAATAAATGGTATTATAAATACCTGATAGAAGTTTCTTTCACATACATAATTTGTTTTAAAAGAAAGACTATTTTTCCAAAGCACACATCATTCGTTAAATTATAAAATTACACTTCCAACAATTACTATTCTTTCCGTCAATTATTTCATTTGAAAAAAAAAAATTAAATTTCGAACTATTTCCGTTTGAATTTTAGGGAACTACAGAAGACTAAAGCGACGCGATATTGGTACCAAGCGAATAAATACATACGAAAAGCAAGGAATTCTACTCACCTGGAATGGACATTCGTAATCCTTTCGGATACAAAGGTTCCACAGTCGGTGTCGGAGGTTCATATTGCGCTAAAACATTTTGAATTATTATGTTAAATAATAAAATAAAATAGACAGCAACAAGAGAGCATTTGATTCCTGGAACGCTCATGACGTGTATGATGTTGCCAGTCGAAGCGATACTGAGGAGCGGGATGCTACTGCGGCGTTTTAAGAACAGGTTTCTGCGTAAATATATTTATCTATAAATATCTTCACACTTTAGTGATTCTCTGACATCAGAAAACACTATTTAGCTGATTAAACAAGGTCTAAAAGCCATGAAAACGGGGAAATCCGTTCATTGATAATTGTTTGAAAAGTCAATCGTATAATAATTTTTATTATCAATTTTATACTGACAATGAGTAATATTATACTGACAATGAGTAATATTTGCAGAAGAAATGCTTAAAAATATAATACAAGTTAATTCGGTAAAATATTTATATGCGTGGTATTTCCAGGTTTTGTAATAATTTTCTAACAGGAAAATTTCTTTAATGGGTAAAATGTTCTACCGTTATAATATTAACGCTATTATTAATTTTTATAATTAATTATTTATTATATTTAGTTATTAGCAGCGAATGATTATTGATACAATTTTATAAAAACAAAATATTTGATTTGCAAGAATATCTAGTTTATTAATTATTTATTTCTATTAAATTTGTAAATTTACTGTTTTATAACAATAATTCATTTTGTGAGAGAAAAAAAATAATGTTATTAATTTCATTTAGTCATAAACTTCATCTTTTCATTTTATTAACTTTGTTCTTAAATTAATCAACATTAAAATATTGATGTTTGAAATATTACCAATGAAACAAACGAAGATAGTAAACACAATTACCATTAATATTTCTGTTATTATATCCTGTGTTATATCTTACGATGGATATTATGTTTAATTACTTTGGGTGAAAAGAATATGTAAAATGAATTAAAATATATTTCTGTAACATTTCATATAAACCGCGCAAGCAATTATACATCTAGGGAATATTTTTTTGTCGTTTAGTACCCGAAATTAGTTGCCCCATCGTCTTCAGCCGCCATAAGTTCCGATCAGTTTCGACGTTTTCGTGCCAAGTTTCGTTTTAATTGTTATGCAGTAAAAAAAGGTTTTCGTGAATTTTACGTCAAAAGCGTTGCTACTTCCTGAATCGTGAGTCGTGAGTACCATTTTTCTATGTCAAATGTTTACATTCACATTTTTATTTTGTCTTACATTCTTGCTAAAATGTTGAATATATATCCCGAATATGTTGTTCGGAATAATGCGAGTAATACATTTAAGATAGATGTGCATTTTTCTTATAATTATAATAAAAACACATTTATTATGCTTGTTATATTATCAAAAATGTAATTTTCAAAAATGTATTTCAACTAAATTGAAATTGATACGTCCTGGAGCATCATGGCGTTCATTTGGATGCTTGTCAGAACATGTTTCTGAAGTTCACAAGCTTCTATATTTAATAAAGATGCTTTGTTATATATGCTATGTTATATTGATATATAATAAAGAATTTCTATCAGCATCAATAACATATTTAAGGAAAAATAATATAATCTATATTCCTTCTTTATGATTGGGTTGCATTTCAAATAGATTAATGCATTTTATTTGATCCAATCTTCATAAATTCAATGCATTGGATATTCTCTTTTTACATCCAAGTTATATAGTACGACACTTTTGTGTACTATTTATACATTATGTAATAAGGTATATTTCCAATCACTTTAGATGTATTTCATTTTATGAAATATAATAGATATTGTAGTATGTTTATTAGTGGCCTAAGGTTTTTCCCAATAACTGAAATTTTGTGTGTTCAAAATGTACATTTGTTTTATATCGTATATATATTTTTGTATACATTAATACTATTTCTCTAATTATACATATTTAAAGCATATTTTCTATATATTTCTGACAGTATTTAATATAGTAATTCTAATTAATTTTATTCCAAATCTATTTCTTTATCCTTTAAATAATTATACCATATAATGCCTTAGGAGCACCATATATTTTGAATTTTAGGTTAATCTACGATTATTTTATTTAATTTCAGCTCTTAAAATTTTATTTGTACTTAAGAGAAGTATAAATATTAGCTAAATATGGAAATATTTACTAAACATATTTAGTTTTAATAAAAAAATAAATTTTTTAAAGGATCTGGTTTTGATTTTATAGAACATGCATTATCTGTCTGTTGCTTTTACATTTTTTTGCGTATTAATGTGATGCATTTGCATTATCAAATATTTATATATTTTCATACATTCATATCTATTGCTTATAGATATGTTAATGGCTTTTAATTTTTTTGTAAAATATTTTTTATGTACCTAAATGTACATTAAAAAAATATGCTATGAACATGTCAGTATGTAAGCAAATAATTATGTCAAACATCATGGAATTCATTATGAAATTATGATGTATCTTATATCTACAAAATTTTTAATCTTTTGCATCTAGTAACTTTTAGTAGGATATGATAATCATACTATAAAGATTTGCTAAGTGCAAAGGATTAATAGCCAGAATATCTAATTTACCTTATATTTTTGTATTAATATTTGTGCAAACATTATCGAATATATGTTCATTATTTATACTGAACATATTTTGTTTTACTTTATTTATTTATAAGTGTCTGATAATATGCATTTCTCTCCACGATTATTTTATGAAAATTTATATTTCTTTTACAACGTATATTTTAGCTATTATGGAATAAAAATAAAAATTATTGAAATTTAAAAAATAAGTTTCTGTATATTTTATTATTGTAGTAATGAGTGATGAGGAAAATTCTAGGTGATTTATAATTCACATAGTTAAAATACATTTTATATTTTTATATATATTTTATATATATGTATATAGTTTTAATTTTTATATAACAGCCTTAATATTGATTAAAATTTGCAGATATTTTTAAACTGATGTATGTATAATTTTTACCAATATGTTTAATTAATAATTTTTGAAGCATTTTTTTACTTATATACGATTAGTGATTATATCATAAAAGGGAAACTGAATTATATTATATATAATTATATTTATACTATTATAATTATATATAATAGTATATTATTATATTATATATAATATATACTATTATATTTTATACACATATGTGGTGGAAACTCTATAACAATTTTCTTTGAATATAAAATAGCGTCCAAATGGACTGCAGCCCTTAAAACTGTTTGGAATGCACTAGCAAACCATTTGCTAGAGTGAGAGAGGGTTTAAAAATGCAAAATTGGAACCAATGGCAATTATCAGCTGGTGCTGTTGCTACTCCAATGCCGCAACCACCAGTTGGTTATGCTGCCCCAGGAGCAGATCCTATGGCTATGATGCAAGCGTACATGCAATATTATAATCAACCAGTAAGTATTTTATTAAATATTGTCTTTATCTAATATATGAAAAAATAAATCTGTATTGATTATTTATTGAACACTATTAATTAATGTATATAAGATTTTGCTTGAAAGTATAATATGTTGATTGAAATTATTGTACATTCTTATTCTCTTATTTAAATAATGAATGTACTAATTTACTTGATGTAATACATAAATATCTATATATTACATATATAACAGATCATAATTATGTTTTATTAGGCACCTAGTGGGTATACAGCAGAACAATGGGCTGCAGCTCAACAACAGAACTGGGCTCAGTGGCAGCAATGGCAGCAACAATATCAACAATGGCAAGCACAGTATGGAGAGAAGGTATATAAAAGATATAAATAACATATATAATTCAGTTATTAATTCAACTTTGTTTCAGTATCAAGAAACAATGAAACACATGTCAGCCCAGAACATGAGTTTAAATAATCAGGTGCCACAGTTACCAATTGTACAACCTCCACCACCTCTTCCAAAAGAGGACACAAAACCGCCATTACCTCCAACTACTATGAACACATATCAATTTACAAGCATGCCTCCCCCACATCAAAACAATCTTCCATTATTTCCTGCTAAACAGAACGCAAATACTCCAACTCAACAAACAAATATACAAAATTGTCCTCAAAATCCTCCTTTGCCTCCAAATCAGCCACCATTACCTCCCGAAAATAATAGTAAAGAAAATAATAATTTAAATGGTAAACGCAGTAGTAATACTGGTAGTGAATCTAATAGTGCTAAGAAATTGAAAGTCGAAGATGAAGAACTAACTGAAGCTGAGAAAACATTTGACGCTCAGTTTAAACAGTGGGAGGAACAGTTTAATAAGTGGAAACAGCAAAATGCTAATCATCCAGACAAGGTAAGTGATATTATATTTATTATTGCATATGAGCTACAGACGGTGATGATTGAAATATTAAATGAATTATTGCTAGATATAAACTGATCAAAAGAGATCATTCTATTGTAGACTCAGTACAAACAATATGAAGCAAAATGGACATCTTGGCGAGAGAAACTTATCGAACGACGAGAACAAATGCGTAGAAAACGCGAACAACAAAAGCAAGCTGCTGCTAAGGCAGACGAGAAGAACAAAAGCTTGCCAGGCGATGATAAGATATTGAACATTCTATCCAGTACAGAAAATCAAAGGTTAATTAATAATTTATTGGGTATTGGAAAAACTCTTGGCTTAACTGGGAAACAAAATACCAATGTACCTCCACCACCACCGCCGCCACCAGCAACAGAAACAATAACGTCTAATGTTCAAACGGCAACTTCTTCTCAAGTCTCTCAGTCATCGACAGGGCAGCTACCAGTCATGAACATGATGTCTTCTAATATGATGACTTCACCTTGGAATTCTCAGCAATGGACATCACAATACAACGCAGGAGTGAATGTATCGAATTTTCCTAACTTTCAAACTATGACAGGAGTACCTCCCCCTCCATTCAATATGCCACCAACTCAAATGCCTCCACCAAACTTTACACAACCACCGCCGAATTTTCCAGCTGTACCAAATTTCTCACAGCCACCGCCAGGGTTTATTAACAACGATTCACGACAAAATAGCAATATGCAAGGAAGGCCACCTCCACCTAGTATGCAAGGAAGGCCACCTCCATTCGGTATGAACGCTAGTAATGGTTCGGATAACAATCTGATGCATAACGAACGTCAAGGTCAACTTGGTTCTCTGAATAATTTTGACTCAGTAGGTCATCAGGGTAGCTTTGGTGTGAATGATTCTGTTCGTCAAAAGGAGGGTATACCACCAGAACGTTTTGGTTCAGATAGTATAAATGATCAGCAAAGTAATCAGTTTCGCAATGATATGTTCGGTCCACGAAGTGAAAATTATAAATTAAATGATGAACGAGTATCTGAAAGTGATCAGTTTAGAAGGGAAGATAGGAATTATCAAGAACATGGAAGTCAGTTCAATCAGCAGAAAATAAACTTCAACAACGACAGATTTACTTCTGGAAGTGATTGGTTTGTGCCAGGAAATAATCGTTTCGGTTCAACGAACGACAGATTTGGATCTGGAGACAACAGATTTGTTGTTGGAAATGATAGGTTTGGACCAGGAGGTGATAGAATTGGACAAGGAAACGAACCTGTTAATGATCGATTTGGTCTAAATAATGAACTTTGTAGCCCTGGAGGTGATAGATTTAATAGAAATAATATAGATCGTTTTGATCAAAAAGATGTAGGAGATAATAGGCGTGATAGTTTTCCAAATACTCCAAGAGGTTTCAACAGAAATAATCAATTTGAATCATCGGACAAATTTGCTCCAGAACTTAAGAAACTTATGGAAAAAAGGAGAGCAGCGATGGATGTATTCAAACCAAGTTATCTTGATTCTGACAAAAGTAGTACCGTCGGTTCACTGAGTGAAAGCTTTAAAAAAATTACAGGTGATTCTCCATTCATGAAGCCTGGTGGAAACCAGAATTTTGGGGCTCGTGGGTCTTCCAATTTTGCATCAGGTGTACCTAGTAATTTTAGAATGTCCGGAGATTTCAAACTTCAAGGAAGTCCTGACTTTGGACCACATGGTTCTCCAGGAATTGTACGCAATAATTCGTTCGATTCACGAGATGGAACTGGAAGTTCGTTCAGAGGACCCAATTCTAGCCCACATGTACAAGATTTTATAAATACCGAACCTAGATCGGAAATTGTTAATATTAGAAACGACATGGATGCGAAAAATGAGATTAAAAATGAGTCTCCTATTGTAGTAGAACAAACTGCGACAAACGTGACTGAACAAAATGTCGATAGCACACAGAAAGATAATTCTGAGAACTATTCAGTACAAAAGGACATTCCATTATTAGAAAAGCCACCCTGGATCGATGCTCAACTTCCCGAAGATAATTCATTGCAGAAGGATGGTATTAAAGAGGAAGAAATTCCATCTGCAAAATATAACTCTTCAGAACAGGATTCACAGAATGCATTCAAAGAACAAAGAGAAGTACAAGAGCTATCTAATAATGATAGTGAAAATATGATAGAGAAAAAAACTGAGGTCTTACCTTTCATGGGAGAAAATGATCCGAAACCTGAAGATTTAAATATGGAACCACCTCCTGAATTACCTAATTTAGGTCCTGTTCTTACAGACATTAATAAAACTATTGATTCTATACAAAAAACAGATGAATCATATGACACAAAGGAGTCTTCTTTGAAACTTGCAAGTAATACTGAATCTTTTGATCCAAGAGGACCTTTTGATCCTCCATTTGGTCCAAGAGGAATGCCATTTAGACCAAATATATCCTTCTTGAATCCAAGAGGTCCTAACGATGTTAGACTTCCTATGTTTGAATCACCATTTAATTCTTCTGGTCCAAATCCGTATCCATTAGGTCCTCAAGGACCCAACGATGCACAATTTGGTCCACGAGGCTTAAACGATGGGCAATTTAGTCCAAGAGGCCCGAACGATGGACAATTTGGTCCAAGAGGTCATAACAATACACAGTTTGGTCCTCGAGGTCCTGGTGATGGACACTTTGGTCCAAGAGGTCTTGGCAATGGACAATTTGGCCCTAGAAGTGTCAATGATGGAATGTTTGGTCCAAGAGGTCCTAATGATGGATTATTTGGACCAAGAGGTCCCGCTGATCAGTTCGGACTAAGAGCTCCTAATAATGTACAATTTGGATCCAGACCTTTGAATATTGGACAATTTGACCCCAGATACGATGTTCAGTTAGGGTTAAGAAGACCTAATAATGGACAATTCGGCCCTAGAGGTACGAGCGATGGACAGTTTGATCCCCAAGGATCTAATAATAGGTCATTTGATAATCGAGGCCCTTGTGATTCTCAATTTGTCCCTAGAGGACTGAACGAAGGACAGTCTAGATTTTCGGGACCCAATGAAAAACTTTTTGGTTCACGACGCAATGATCTATCTTATCAACGAAATCCAGCTGGTTCAAAAACAGTAAACGACGCCCAGTTTCCAAATAGATTTAATGAAAAACAATTTGATAATTCCATTGATGGATGCTTTGGTTCACAGGGTTCTAATGATACATATTTTGGTTCACGAGGTCCGATAGGTGATACAGTTGACACTTCTTTCCCATCTCGAGGTCAGTCTGATAGACCCTTTGATAATAGACTTGATGCTAGAGGAATTGGAGAATTTAGATCGAAAGGACCAATTGACAACAATTCTGGCCCCAAAATTCCAGGTGAATCAGAAACAAGTGGTGATGGTGGAATATTCGCTAATAATGAAAAAATACTAATTGACGAAAGTATACAGCAAAGGCAATTTGATTCTAATGACATACAGAATGCTAGCTGGAGGCAACCATACTCTAGAAATAGTTTTGGAGATATAGATCAAAGATCTGGACGAGGTTACTCTGATAAACCCATGTTAACACAAAATGAATCGTTCAATCAGATTGCAGCGAACAATATAGAACGACGATCTCCTATGAATGGAAATAAATGTAATATTTCTGATAAAAGATCAGAGAGGAATATGAATGATATGACAATAGGTGATTATAAGATTGGATATTCAGATCCTTCATCAGGTTCTGATTATACAAAATTTGATAACTCTAATATGTACATAAAACGATCCATGGATAATCGACAGTCTCAAATCAGGTGTCCACCTGTGAAAGAATTTTGCATAGAGAAACAATTTAATTACAATCATGGTGGGGCCGGCGGTGACAAAAAATTTCTTGAACACATACCTGCTAAAGTAATAGATTATGCTCATACTTCTCGATCATCGATTCAAGATCACTTAACTCCTGTGCAGTGTTTTGATTATGGGCATGGTAATTTAAAACCATTAGTGCCAGAGCATGAGATGTATCCAACAAAAGATTTTAGAAATTGGGAGGAGAACGAGCAGAATTTGAAAGACTACACAGAGAAAATAAGAAGGTACGAATGTTATGCGAGCAAGACTGACTCTAGACGGTCAGGAGACTATAAGCAAAAAAGAAATAGTGAAGAATTTATCGACGATAAGAAATCTGAAAGGGAACACAAAGAAAAAGAAGATTATAAAGTGAAAGAACATGATGATAGGATATTTGACCACACATCTGACAAAGATTTAGATAATCGCTATGAAAAAAATTCTGCAAAAGGTAATTTACACAGTTTTTCATTGTTAAAATTTGTAAAAACATGTCTAAAAATCATACATATGTATTTATTGGTATTATAAATTGCACAGCACAATTTTGCATAGTTGCATATAATTTTATGTTTTTTGTTTTTTTTTTCTAAATTTGTAGAAAGGACGCGGGAAAGATGTGAAACTTCTCAGAAGGAAACAAATAAAGAAAATGACAAAGATGAAGATAGGTATGGTACAAAATATAATTTATAAATATATATTACAAAATATAATTTATAAATATATTATTTATAAATTTATCAACGTATTTACGTCTACAAATAAAATATCGTAATCATGATCGATATTGTGACATTAATGTAAATCAATTTCGTTTGAAAATATGTAACTTTCTTTAGATCAAAAGGAAATATAAACTGGCAGGAGAATTCGAACAAGAACATCATAGATACAAAGCCATCAGAAACCAGGTATGTATTATTGATTATTAAATGCGTTCTAAATGTTTTAGTCTTCGAAATATTGTAAAATAAATGCTTCCATGACTTTTGTGTTCTTAAATTTATATTTCAACACACATTGGTAACCATCTGTAGATATAATGTTTCTGATAACCATTGCATTTTGCATAAAGTATGAAGACTTATTTATGCAAATTCATACTCACTCTTTCTTTTTCTTTCTCTCTCTCTCTCTCTCTCTCTTTCTCTATTTTTAAACTGCTAAAATGCAGTTACAGAATGCTATTATACATATATGTTCTTATCCATTGTGTCAATGTTATTGACACATGAAAATATTTAGAAAACCATTGGTTTTCATGATTTATAATATATTAATATAATATATTTATATGGTTATTTTATTAATAATATTATATCGATTAATATTATGTATTTTAAACCATGAAAGGTTTATTTATATTCGTAAATGAATATTATTTATGCTCTTATTCCTTTATAATATATCTTGTAAAAATTTTCAGAATTAAATACATAAATCATATAGCAACATAATACAAACATATTTTATTTTAATCTGTTTGTATTATGTGCAAACGTGATTTTTGCGATTTAATTAATTTACTTAAATAAGGCAATATGGGAAGATATTTACTATTTTTCAGGTGATGGCTATTTTTTAAAATAGCTTCCAAAATATTTCTCTTATACTGCGTTTAATACACATTTAATATTTTGAAATTCTTTAATGTCTTAATACCTTGTGCAAAAAACATGAAATACAATGCATTTAAATTTGAATGTATCAATCCCTATGACTTATAATTGTTTATTTCTGTTATGATTTCTTTTATATTATATAAAGAAAACTATCTTTTATTTATTGTATATATAAAAGATTATAAATAGATTATAAAGATCTTTTAATAAGTTGACATTTTTTATTATAGTGTTACAGATACTCAGCATAATGTCTTGGAACTTGCACCAAAAACCTTGGAATTGGCAAAAACACCAAACTACACAATGGTCGATGACTTATTGTGTCCTCCAGGTCGTCAGAACAGACCACCAAAAATAGCTATAATTTTAAGGGGTCCACCAGGCAGTGGAAAATCTTTTGTAGCAAAACTTATTAAGGTAAAGTGTTTATTGAAATACTAAATAATTTATTTCATCTACTAATACTATAATTTTATAATATAACAATTTTTAATATAATATCTTTTTATAGGATAAAGAAGTTGAACAGGGAGGTTCTGCACCAAGAATATTAAGCCTTGATGATTATTTCTTAGTAGAGAAAGAGATAGAATCTATGGATGATAATGGAAAGAAGATTATAGTTAAGGTACAAAACAAATTATTATTTTTTTTAAATTAAATTTGAAATTATATCTTTCGTTTTATTTAATGAATTTTATAGGAAATGGTCTATGAATATGAGGAAGCAATGGAACAAAGTTACATTGCATCTCTTGTTAAAGCTTTTAAGAAGAACATTACCGATGGTTTTTTCAATTTTATTATACTAGACTGTATTAATGAAAAAATATCCGATTATGAAGAAATGTGGAGTTTTGCTAAAACGAAAGGTTTCAAAGTAAGTTGTAGTCTTGAATTTCGAACATATGAAAAAAGAACAATTTTTTAAAAATATTTTTTTTT